TTTAAATAGAGACACTCTACGTATTACACATACATCTCCTTTTAACGTTCAGAGTTCACTTCATTCCAAGCTGAATAAGTAAAAGTGAAACTGAATCCAGACCTCTCAGGATTCTGTAGCTGATCTGCTCGCTCCGGTTCCTGTCTCCGTCCTTGGCGTAGACGGGGCCGGGCTCCAGCACCAGGGGCCCCTCCTGTGGGTCAGACAGGTTAGTCACCCCCTCACAACCAGCATCTATTGGTGACTTTGGTTTAGTTAAAAGCAGCTCATCAGACTTCTTCTAACTAGGGGTAACCAGAGGTAATCAGGGTAAACCAGTGGTAATCAGGGACAACTAGGGGTAACCAGTGGAAACCGGGGGTAAACCAGGAGTAAACAGCGGTAACCGTTGGTAATCAGGGATAACTAGGGGTAACCGGGGGTAACCAGTGGTGACCTGGGGTAACCAGTGGTAACCAGAGGTAACCATTGGTAACCAGGGATAACTAGGGATAACCGGGGGTAACCAGTGGTAATCAGTGGTAACCAGTGGTAACTAGGAAATAACTAGGGATAACCAGTGGTAACCAGGGGTGACCTGGGGTAACCAGTGGTAACCAGGGATGATTAGGGGTAACCAGGGGTAACCAGGGATAACTAGGGATAACCAATGGTAAGTAGGGGTAACCGGGAGTAACCAGTTGTAATCATGGGTAATCGGGGGTAACTAAGGATCTGGATATCTGAACCGGATCTGGATCTGGACCAGATCAGGATGTCTGAACCGGATCCGGATGTCTGAACCGGATCCGGATCCGGACCAGGGATCAGCCACTCGCCTCCTTCTCGGTGAGGTTGACCCGGCCCCGGTACCCGGAGCCCAGGCACAGCTTGGCCAGCCCCAGGCTGGACCTCTGGCAGGGCTGGAACCAGGGGGGCCGGTTGTCCACGTCCCGCACCTGCACCGTGATGGACGCCACCGAGGTGAAGAAGGGCTCGTCCGAGGAGGAGCCGGCCAGCGTGTCCTGGGGGGGCAGGCCCAGGAGGGGGTTACACCCAACCCCTAACCCTAACCC